ATATTATGATCCTAAACTTCTGGATCTTAATCTAGTTTAGGAAAGCTATGAAAGAAGTCCATTGACTATTTAGCTATTATTTAAAAAGCAATGAAATTTTATACTATCAAGTTAAGGCTATACAAGATACATCAAATCTGTGTGGATATAATTGTTATTCATGCTGCTCAGCAGCTTTCATGGATATGTCTTTGAATAACAAAGCATTAAGAAAACAAAATATTTCTTAATAGAAGTACAGTTTGGTGGATAGATACTTCAAGGTATAAACTCTTCTGGGGGAGGGAAAATAAAAGGTATTTTTAGTGGCAAAAAGCTTAAAACCACTGCTGTCTAAAATAATTCATAATAGTAAAAACTCAGATCAGTAAACATCATAGACAGAGATCAGAAGCTTAACATATAACTGACAAGACAAAAACATTTAACTGAGCTTCATTTAGAATAATTTATATCTGATAAATTGAATACATCAGTATTTGATGTATTGAGCAATTTCAAAAGATAATAAAAATAAGCTATGGCATATATCCTGAAAACTTTTTACAATATCATTTAAATATTTCACTCATACCTATCTAAATATTGACCAGGACACTAATGCCACACTGCAGAGTTAATAATCTGTACATTTTCTTTAAAGTAATGGACAGAGTATGCTTTCTTAGCTGCCTGATTCACATTTCTCTAAAAATGCTTTATCAGTTAAAGCTTTCAACCAGATTTAAAAATAGTGCCTCTCCCATGTCTCCATGAGTGGGGAAAACAGCAAACAAACCTGTGTTTAACAATAAGGTCAGCATGACACAAAGTAACAAGAGCCAGTAAATCGAAAATGAGGCTGACATTCTGGGACTAGGCCAGCAGTCCTGCAGCAGGCTTCCAGACTCCACATCTGCATAAGGCTGTGGACAGGCTTGGGCGCAGCCCCTGGGCATGTGACCTGAGCTCTGCCTTGGAATGCGGTCAGCTTCAAGGAGGAGAACAAGCCCCCCTGGTGTTTTTCTTTGCCTTGGTTATAGGATATTCAGAGAATGTATGTATTAAATCATTTCTGCCATGAACAGCTGTTATGTTTAACTTACTACCAACACCCCCAAATTCTTAAATTTTCTCCAGTGACAGGGTGGACAAATTATTAAAAAACGGTGCTGCTGCTTTTTAGTTTTTAAGGCCACACTGATTCAGGCCTAACTTTAAAAGTGTACGTTCTGTTAGCTGAAGCTGGTCTGTAAGACCTTTTTTCCTGAGTTGATTAATAAATAGGGATGTGATCCAACCTGAATTCAATAATCTAGACCCAGTTCAGCTTGGATTCATCTTATGGATGTTGACCAATCTGGTTTGGATTTTATCATAATATGGGTGAGTAGTCAGTTCTTTTACTGCTTTTCATTCAATTTTGGATTTGATAAGGATGAGAGAGTGTGGAATAATGGTACATTACATCGTCAGCAGATGTTAGGGAGAAACAGATATTGTTCTTTTCACTTCACCATAAGAAAAAAACCCAAAACTACAAAACCTAGGTGATATTCTTTTCATTAAAATCATTTTATGACTTACTGTAGTACGGATAAGCAATTTAGGACTTAGCAAACTTTTGCTAGACTAACTGGCTATGTATTTCCTGTAAAATTGTAAGAGATGTAGAAATTTCCCACATCCAATGGCTAATGAACAGGCATACTTTGGGAAAAAGAAAGTTATGCCATTACTTGAGTTGTCTTCCTGTCCACTTCACTTCATTAGTGGGGACCACAGTTGTTGAGTTATTGAATATAAAAATAGAGTATCTTTAAATTTGAAAAAAATACATATTTTTGTGAGTTCTGAGTGATTCTTCCGCACAAGGCTCTGGAGTTGTAAAAGTATTTAAAAGGATTCATATCCTATCCTCACTTCTGATGTGTGAAGGATAAGTATGGATGAGAGAGATTGCTCAGGTATTCACAGCAAAAACTAAAAATGTAATTGCCATCCTACCAAAGGAATACAAGACAGACTAAAGCAGACATAACAGATTTCTTGTAGGCATTTTATATCATAACCTTCTTAGGAATAGGAATGTTGTTTTTTTGGTTGATGACTTCATTGTGATTTCTGGACCCACTGTTCCCTTTTGTGGAATTGCTCGCCATAGTAAAAATAATTTGAGCATGCATGGGTTTTTGGAGGGGCTGTGTTCTAGTCAGGCTCTCTATTCTAAAAAGACACTTAAAAATCTTAAAATCAGGGTCATTATTTTAAATATTCATAGTTAAAGAGTAATAGCCCCTTTAGATCTTTGATAAAACAGGCTCTAAACTCAAAACACTGTATTTTTTCAGAAGAATTACTTGAATACTTCCAACCCTAATTTCAAATGAATTTAGTCAAATATATCATAGTACATAGTGACACAAATAAAGCAATGAGACTTTTTAGAATCCTGGTTTCACTATAGAATATAGCTTGTTAGTTTGATAAGATTATAGTCAGAACTATGGCTTAATGAAAACAAAATAACAGCAACTACTCTTTCTGAACACCGGTATAAATGTTTTGGTATCCATTTCTATTCATTAGAAAGCATTGGGCAAAGGCAGGTTTAATCAGAGAGGTTAAATGACTTGCTTAATCTTATCTAGCTAGTGAGTGGCAGGGAAGGGGGCAGAGTTTTATATCAGTTGTCTCCACGGTGCCCATCATCAAACTCATGACTAGCTGTGGATAATTTAGAAGGTACAGGTTGATCTACCATGGCTACTTACAAGGCATAGTTTTGGTAAAATCCATACTGTTAATCATATTTCCATATCATCTGTAGAGCAACAAATTAATGTTAAATGTGAAAAAAATAGTATAGCATTGCCTTCTTAAAAAGTGCCATGTCTTTAAACATTAAACACACACACACAAAACTGTCACATAACTACTGATAATGGAGGCATTAATGCATAAGACTCAAATGGCTTTTCAAACCTTTTTAAGAAAAATATTTTCATTAACTCAAGAATCTATTTCAGTAACCTGCAAGTTTTTCCTGATATGTGACCTGTCTTCTTAAGATTTGGTTTCACTTAAGAGCTACCAGAAAGAACATGACCTGTGAAATGAAGATAATGGTTATGATGACTAAGTAGTAGTGGAGACATTAGTAGATAGGACTTTGTAGAGAAAAACATTTAGAAATTAGATATTTTCCTTCTGGTGAAGCACTATTCTTTTTAAAAAGGTTTTTTTGTTTTTTAAGCTTAGCCTTAAATATTAAATCCTAGTGTTTAGACATCTACATTTCAGACAGAGATCGACATCGAATATATCAAACATTCTTAACAAAAGCCGAACCTGTGGCCACTACAATCTATTCCCTTAGTTTAGTGAATTATAAAATTTTAAAGCTATTATGGAAATTAAATCTATGCTGATGGAAAATGATTTGTATCATCAAAATACTGGTTTAATTCAAAGTAGCAAGAATCAGATAGTGATCACAACATTAACTATTCCCTGAGTCCATTTCTTAAGCATAAAGGGCCAAAAATATTGTTTTTGTTTATTGGGTTTTCTTTTTTGACAGACCTACATTCATTTTCTTATGTCACACAGTCCATTTTGAGAGGTGTCACTCTCACAGAGGTAGATTTCCTGTAACCATTATATTTTGGAGATGTTAAAAATACTTTTCTGGGAATGGTATTTGTGGGAAAAATATATTGAAAGCTTTTTCAATAAATGTACATATAGATTTAACGCAAATGAATTACTGACATGCCTAAATAAAGGTGTAATTTAATATTTACTTTAAAGTTAGTACCTTTGTGCTACACGTGTATCAGTAAAATTATATGTAAATAATGTTTTGCACCTATCTAGTATTTGTTGAGGGTATGAGAAAATTCATACCCTCAACAAATATTAAAATGCCTACTTATCAGGCACTTTAATTGATACCTACTACTGGACTGTAACTTTCCTGAGTTATATAGTCTTTCTTCAGCTCCAAATTCTCATAAGGCTTATTAGCACATTTTTCTTGTGCTAATAGCAGGTACTCAATCAATATCTGTTGAATGAAATTAGAAATGAAGAAAGTTTATACTGAGGTTTACAGTGCCAAGCAATTTAAGGCTACATAAACATAAGAAATAATTTTTTGTGGAATTTTTCTTAGGGAGAAAAATAATACTCTATTCATTCAGTTTAAAAACTTAGAACAAGGATTCCTTGTTCTATTCCTTGTTCTCAATCTAAAGTATTGTCCTTAAGACACATAAAATACATTTATATTCTTCTATGTTATAGTCAATAAAGTGAGAGATCTTACAAAGTAGGAAGCAAAGGTGGAAAATTTAAAAGTGATGAAGATAATTTATCGAGATAAGAAAGCATGGGAGAAGAAAGTGATAAAAGTCATGCATACAGAAATATTCAGAGTTGTAACCAAAGAATGCTCAAAATCTATGGTAACACCAGGACAGAGAGAACATGTCATTCAACTCTCTGTCCAAACAAACACTATTGTCCACTTTGTGTGGCTCCCAGACTCGAGTCAGAATTGTAAAACAACATGATACTATAATTCAATTGTGCACAAAATGGCAGGTTAAGTCTAGGAGAAGGCAGATCACTGCTTGGAAGACTCAGGAAAGACTTTGGAGAAATAATATGTGGCTGAGTCTTGAAGGTTGAAACATGCATGGAATTAGTGTAAAGGGGAAAATTCTGCAGAAGTTTGATGGCAAAAAGATTTGCATGGCTGAAACATACGACGAATTCATGATAAAGAGGAGAAAGGTATGTGAATTGATACCTCCCTCTTTCTTCTCTCCTTTTCTTCCTTCCTTAGATTGGAAAAGATGTTAATAAGCTCTGAGCAGAAGGAGCAATTGGCAGGAAAGATACTTTACTACATTCAAAGGTGAGAGAATTGAGAATCAGTAAGGGTGATTAAGTTTCAACATGCAACCGGTGGTAAGAAGTGCAATTAGGCCATAATATCTTCTGACTTCTTATTTCCATTGGTAATACCTCATTAGAGGACAATGCCTTCCCCAAAAAAGGTTATTTTAAAAACTTACAAAACCCACAATACTATTTGCATAATAATATAAATCTACTTATTAACTTCCTAAGAGATTTGTGTTTCCAATCTGGAAAATTGTTTTACATACGAGTTGTTTGGCCTAGTTTGAAGAACATCAATCTGTCTTAGCTGTTTTCAACTCTTTCTCTTTTTTTTTTTTGCATTAAAAATACTTTTGAAAATCTGAAGAAGGTTATGAAATTTCCTCCTCACACAAATATGTAGACAAAATTTTGCATGCCATTTTAAAGGTTCATTTTTTTGGAAATATAATTGAGACATAACTCAATATAATTGAGAAATAACTTATATAATAGCTTTGTCTTATCACAGGTTAGATTTTTTTCTCTTAAGTAGATGACTTGTTAGATGCAAAAGTTTAAAATCCTCACCTGCATGGTATGAGATAATATGGATAAGATATAGTTTACTTTAACAATCAATTTTAGTACTTTTTCAGTCTTGTAAATTCTTCAAAAAAATATGGGTACACAAAACAGTTACAACATTCTAATTATATTTTATAAAGGAAAACAATTAGAACCCCACAATTTTTCTCTTAAATGTACACACTATGATATGTTATAAATGTAAGGCTTTCAGAAGAACATTATAAAAACTCATGACCTCATAATCCTGACCAAAACAATAAGATATACCACAAAATGTAATTCTTTAAAAGATAAAGCTGACATTCATTTTTTATGAAAGAGAAGGGGTTTCACCATCCCTGCCAAGATCTTGGGTAACTGTGCAGCAATAACTTCAGACATCATTTCTGGAAATTCAACACTCAGTGCCCGGGACTGGATAAATGTATTCAAGCAGTACAGATGAAGCTGTTTGACAAGCTGTTGGTTTAACAAATGAGTAGAAAACATATAATAAAAATAATAAATTCATATGCTATTCAAACATGGCAACTTATTTTTCTAATATATGTAATAGAAATACTTCTCAAGGTGTTTTCCTTTTACTAAAATGAAAATAACTCCCACCATTTTCTAGAATAATATGCACAATATTATATACTTGTGATGGAACATTCTGATAATATAGAAAGATTTATTTAAAGAAATGAAAGTTATAATTCCACAGGGTAAGCTGTGTGAACATTTTGGTGTATTACTCAAGTCTTTTTTTCTTTTTATACACATATACAGACATACCCAAGTATACACATAACATTACATACACATAGATTTTATAAATTCTATTGGCTAATCTGGCTGTTTTATATAACAACATATTGATTCTTCCTATGCCAATAATCCAACATAGCTTATTTTAATCTAATTTTTATCAAAGTAACTCATGTGTATAATTTAAAAAGTCAAATAATACTACATGATTATAAAAATAAAAGCAGCAGCCGCATCAATAAAACCCAGCAGTTTCCTGATAGACTTCTTCCCATCCCTATTCCAGCCCCTTAGACACAACTACTTTCAACTTTTTGCAGCCTGCGTCTTTTGATATTTACTTCTGTATTTCCACTAAAGTTAGTTTTAGTTTCTACTACGGGAAATGAAAATGAAGTTCTCTTGTGCTAGACACGCTCCTCCTCAACTATATACACATTTTCTTCTCTCCAGTTGTATTTCAATTTTTGGTTAAAGTCAATCTCTAGCATTTATATTATAAAGATTTTTTATGGTTTTCTGCTGGATTACATTTCCATTCTTATGACTCATTTTTATTTTGCAAAAGTGAAGTGAATCACCTCGTGTTTTTGTTTGCTTTGTTTTCTCCGTATCTGTCACAAAGCCATGGTCAAATTCTCTGACATAATTGTAAAAACCACCTTAATTACAGTTATACTTACTGGTAATCTCCCAGTTCCATTTATTTTTCCTGGAGGTGGTATCCTAGAACCCTTTGTATTACTGTTTCCATCTAGACTAACGACTGCTCTGCACAGTTACTATACTGGGACAACAATTTTCATTTCTCTTGGGTAGATCTTTGGCTTATTCTTGTGTTTTCTTATAAGACATCCTGTAGCAGTTCTTGAGAAAGGTTTCATCTGATGTAAACTCTACAAGACCTTGCATGTTTGAAAATACTTTTTTATGCTGCTATTGTACTTGTTTGATGGTTTGGCTGGGTATGAAATTCTTTGAAGATTTTGTTTTCCACCAAATTCTGAAGGCATTGCTCCATTGTCTTCTGGCTTCCACCATTGGTGTTAAGAAGTCCAACATCATTCTGAATCCCGATAGCTTTTTAAAAAATTCTTTCTTTTCTTTCTTCTTCCATGGGAAGGGGATATAATCCTGATAACTTCTATGTGACCTGTTTCTTTCATCACTGGTAGACTTTAAAATATTCTCTTCATTTCTGGCATGCTGCAGTTTTACAATAATGTACCTTAGTTGAACTGTGCAGTGCCTCTACCTCTACCCTGGATCCTTACTGTTAGAAAATTCCTGTTTTCAATTCCAGCAACTTTTATGATTTCTTACATAAATTTCTCTCCTTGATTTTCACTATTTTTTCTTCTGGACATTCCTATTAACTGGAGGCTAGAAACCCCTGGATACTAAATTTACTATAACTCTTCTTTCTCATCTTTCATGTTTTTTATCTTTTAAATTATTTTTTCCCCAGATTTTCCTTTCCATTTCAGCCCTTTTATTGAATTTAAAATTTCTGCTTTTCTTTATTTAATTATCCAAAAATATTTTCCTGCTAAATGTCCCTTTTAAAAATATTTTCTGTTCTCATGTCATGAACACAATATCCTTCTTATTTCTCTGAGGATGTTGGAAGTCTTCTATTCTCTGCACTGGTGTTTTTTTCCTTCAAGTATTTTTCTTCTTATTTTGCTTTCTGCCTTTCATTTTACATGCTTTACTCAAATAGTCCATAATCTTGATTGTCTGTTCATATTCAAGAGTAAGATCTCAAAAGTTGACCTGGTGAATAGATAGCTTTTTTATGCCTTCACTGTCATTTTAATGTGATCTGAACATTGTAGCAATAAAAGCTTGTATTTGATATATCTTGACAAACCACAGCTATCTTGTCTTAGTTATCCACTTCTGGTGTTGGGCATTTCTTGTTTTTTCTTTTTTTTCCCTCTGCTATGGTGAACATCCTTGCATGCATATTACATTTGCCTAATTATTTCTTTGAGATAAATCCTAAAACATAGAAACTTGAAAAGCATGCAAATTTTAACTTCTGCTATATGTTGTCTGATTGCCTATCCATCAGCAATGTTATTTATAATTCCATTTCAAATGGCATGAGTCTTATTTTCCACATACACACATTTGTTTTTATTGTATATATAATCTTTTATAATTTTAGGTACAAATATTTTAAAACATATTCAGGAAATGTACCATAATTGCTACCAGCTACTAAATTATTCTCAAATTACACAAATACTTGTAAAAGAATATTTGGCTGGTCTATACTGAAAATGAAAAAAACACAATATAAAGTCTGAGCAGTGTGATCCAAACACTTATAAAATACAAGTATTAATCTGAGAAAATCATATTAAGTTTACATGTAACATTTAAAAAGTTATAGAAATTCAGAGAATAATCACTGATATTCTGGAATCAACCAAATACTTACATCATGCAAGTTATCAAGAAGTTTTGTAAGTTGATAGAAACGCTGTGAGCTAGACACAACTCCTTTTTGCCTCAAACCAATTGCCTTGATTAGCTCTCTAATGTAGCTTGATCTCATCTCCTCAAACTGGGTTTGACTTCTTAGTCCTTCCAAAGGAACTGTAAGAAGACAAATAAAAAGGGCCGTTATGTTTAACGTTAGTGTTTAACACTAACAATTTGTAACACACATTTCTGAGTCTATATAATGATTTCTTCTGATATGTGACTAGAAAAAAGCACCTTATATAGGAGAGAGTTATTGATAGCATGAGGACATATAAATTTCTAGTTCACTGGTATGATAGGATAAGAACTAATAGATATATTAAAGAACATTTCAGCTGACCTATTTTAGCCTGTATCAATGGATTGTGCATTTAACTTAGCATTTGCTCAAAAGAGCACCTGGCATTATTCTACATCCTTCTTGAATACTTGGTTTGATTTAGCTTATAGCTGCATGTAATTTGGGTCTTTTTTTCCCCTTATGTTTAATGAATTCTTGGATCTCTTAGTAAACTTTTATCTACTTCATGTAAATCTCAAGTATTTGTCATTAAGATTTTTCCTAGATAATTTATCTTCTTGTAATTTTAAAAATTGCTTCATTAGTTTTTCTAATGCTTTCCTGTTGATAGGGGAGAAAGCTATTAATGTTTAAATATTTCTCATATATCCAGCCACTTCACTACACAGGCGTATCTCGGAGATATAGCCAGTTTGGTTCTAGACCAATGCAATAAAGGAAATATTGCAACAAAGTGATCACATGCATCTTTTGGTTTCCCAGTCCACATAAAAGTTATGTTTACACTACACTAGAATGTATTAAGTGTGCAACAGCATTATATAAAAAATGTACATATTAACTAAAAAATACTTTACTTCTAGAAAACGGTAATGATCATCTGAGTCTTCCATGAGTCAAAATATTTTTGCTGCTGGAGGGTCTTCACTAAATGTTGATGACTGCTGATTGGTCAGGGTGGTGGTTCCTGAAGGTTGGGGTGGCTATGACAATTTCTCAGAATAAGGTAACAATGAAGTTTCTTGCATCAATTGACTCTTTTGTGAATAACTTTTCTGTAGCATGCAATGCTAGCAGTTTGATGGCATTTTACCCACTGCAGAACTTCTTTCATAATTGCAGTCAATCCTCTTAAACACTGTTGCTGCATTATCAACTCAGTTCATGTAATCTTCAAAATCCTTTGTTGTCATTTCAATAATGTTCGTAGCATCTTCACTAGAAGTAGATTCCAACTCAAGAAACCACTTTCTTCACTCATCTATAAGAAACAACTCCCCATCTGTTCAAGTTCTACCATAAAACTGCTGCAATTTGGACATGTCTTCAGGCTCTACTTCTAATTTTATTTCTCTTGCTCTTCTCACATATCTGCAGTTATTTCTTCCACTGAAGTTTTGAACTCCCTCAAAGTCATCCATGAGGGCTGGAATAAACCTCTTCAAACTGTTAATGTTGTTATTTTCACCTTCTCCCATGAATCACGAATGTTCTTAATGGCATCTAGAATGGTGAATCCTTTCTAGAAGCTTTTCAATTTACCCAGATGTATCAGAGGAATAACCATGGCTGCTACAGCCTTACAAAATATATTTCTTAAATAATAAGACATGAATGTGGAAAATTACCCTTTGATCTATGAGTCACACAATGAATGTTGTGTTCGCAGGGATGAAAACATTAATTTCCTGTGTATCTTCATCAGAGTTCTTGGCTGACTAGGTGCATTGTCAATGAGCAATGATATTTGAAAGGAGTATTCTTTTTTGAGCAATAAGTCTCAACAGTGGGTTAAAATATTCAATGAACCACACCATAAACAGATGTGTTGTCGTCCAAGCTTTGTTGTTCCATTCACAAAGCACAGGCAGAATAGATTTAGCAGGATTCTTAAAGGCCTTAGGATCTTCAGAATGGCAAATGAGCATCGGCTTCAGCTTCAAGTCACAGCTTCATCAGCCCCTAACAAGAGAGTCAGCCTGTCCTTTGAAGCTCTGAAGGCAGACATTGACTTCTCTCTAGCTATTAAAGTCTAAGATGGCATCATCTTCCAATGAAAAGCTGTTTCATCTACCCTGAAAACATGTTTTTTAGCACAGCTACTTTCATAAGTAGTAATAATCTTAGCTAGATCTTCCAGATAACTTGCTGCGGCTTCAGAAATGGCTTCTTTCCTTAAACCTCATAAACCAACTTCACTAGCTTCAAACTTTTTTCTGCTTCTTTCTCACGTTTCTTAGTCTTCCTGATATTGAGGAGAATCAGGACCTTCCTGTGGATGAGGCTTAGACTTAAGGGAATATTGTGGCTGGTTTGATCTGTCCAGACCACTAAAGCTTTCTCCATATCAGCAATAAGGCTGTTTTGCTTATCATTCATGTATTCACTGGAATAGCACTTTTAATGTCCTTCTAGAACTTTTCCTTTGTATTTGAAACTTGGCTAGTTGCTTGACTCAAGAGTCCTAGTTTTCAGTCTGTATTAACTTTTGACATGCCCTCCTCATTAAGCTTAATAATTTCTACCTCAGGCTAGCAACTATATCTTTTTTTTTTTTTTTTTTGAGACGGAGTTTCACTCTTGTTACCCAGGCTGGAGTGCAATGGCACGATTTCGGCTCACTGCAACCTCCGCCTCCTGGGTTCAGGCAATTCTCCTGCCTCAACCTCCTGAGTAGCTGGGATTACAGACACGTGCCACCATGCCCAGCTAATTTTTTGTATTTTTAGTAGAGACGGGGTTTCACCACGTTGACCAGGATGGTCTCGATCTCTCGACCTCGTGATCCACCCGCCTCGGCCTCCCAAAGTGCTGGGATTACAGGCTTGAGCCACCGCGCCCGGTCGCAACTATATCTTTTACTGGAACAGAGAGGCCATTCTAATATTGTTGGCCTAATTTCTTTCTTTCTTTCTTTCTTTTTTTTTTTTTTTTTTTGAGACAGGGTCTTGCTCTGTCACCTAAGTTGGAGTGCAGTGACATAATCATGGCTCACTGAAACCTCCACCTCCCATATTCAAGCAATTCTCCTGTATCAGCCTCCTAAGTAGCTGGGATTCCAAGTGTGTGCCATCATGCCCGACTAAGTTTTGTCTTTTTGGTAGAGATGGGGTTTCACCATGTTGGCCAGGCTGGTTTTGAAGGGACCTTAAGGTCAGGAGACCTTAAGTGATCTGCCTGCCTCAGCCTCCCTAAGTGCTGGGATTACGGTGTGAGCTACCATGCCCAGCCTAATTCCAATATTGTTGTGCCTCAGAGAACAGGGAGGAAAATTACTATTTCTTAAGCCTGTATTTATCCCTTGCACCCAGATCAAACCTTGGTTTCTATTTCCCCTAGAAAAAGAAGCCCGGAGATACAAACTTATAAAAAACAAGTTAATTCTTTGGTTTTGAGTTTTCATGATTTTGTATATAAAAGGTACTCTAAAGGGTAATTCTGGCAATTCAGCATATCTATGCAACTGAAAACTGAAAACTTCACTCCATGTACGTGGTCAACTGAAAACTTAACTCCATGTACATCTATATGTATATGCCATATGTATATCTAGAACCTCTTTTCTTTCCAAAATTTGTATCAATTTAAAGAATATCTGTGCAGTTTTTTTACATGAATATATTGCATAGTGCTAAAGTATGGGTTTTTGGTATAATATCACCCAATAATGTACATTGTACCCATTAGGTAATTTCTCACCCCCCCTCCTATCTTCCCAGCCTTCCAAGACTCCACTGTCAATTATTCCACACTCTATGCCCATGTATATGCATTATGTAGCTTCCACTTATAAGTGAGAACATGTGGTATCTGACTTTCTGTCTCTGAACTGTTTCACTTAAGAAAACAACCTTCTGTTCCATCCATGTTGCTGCCGAAGACACACTTTCATTCTTTTTGATGGCTGGATACTGTTCCATTGTGTGTGTGCATGCATGTGTGTGTGTGTGAGTATGTGAATACAGCACATTTTCTTTATCCTATTATCTGTTGATAGACACTTGGATTGATTCCCTATCTTTGCTGTCATGAATAGTGCTGCAATAAACATGAGTACAGGTATCTTTTTGATATAATAATTCTTTTCTTTTGTGTAGATATCCAGTGGTAGGATTGCTAGATAGAATGGTAGTTATATTTTTAGTTTAGTTTTTTTTTTTTTTGAGAAATCTCCATATGGTCTTCCATAGAGGTTATACTAATCTTCCAGAGCTACTTCAAAGAGCAGACATTTTAAACCTTCACAGCTCTCTTTAAGGTTACCAACCAATCCCTATGTTTCCCTCAGCCATAAACATAAATGTAAAATTATTCTTTCTTTATTTTTTTTCATAGTAAATCCCTTTACTAAGATTTTAGTGTCATTTTTGTTGTTGTTGTTTTTGGGAATGGGCCTCACTCAGTCACCAAGGCAGGAGAGCAGTGGCGTAATCATGGCTCACTGCAGCCTCGACTTCCTGAGTTGAGGCAATCCTCCCACCTTAACTTCCCGACTACCTGGGACTACAGGCACTTGCCACTATGCCTGGCTAATTTTTTGTATTTTTTTCCTAGAGAAGGGGTTTTGCAAGTTGCCCATGCCAGTCTCAAACTCCTGGACTCAAGCCATTAGCCCAGCTTGACCTCCCAAAGTGTGATTAGAAATGTGAACCACAGCATCTGTTCTTAGGTGTAATTTTGGAGAGAACAATGGTAACAATGTTTGTTCAACCTACTCTCTATTCCTGGAGGTTTATATTTTCATTTTTAAAGGCAAATAAGAGGTTTAAGTTCATAAATGAAAAATCATCAAAGTTTTCCTTTGCCAGTCTTCTCCTTGCATTTATTTTATAAAAGGTATTTTCTCTTTGAGATTGAAGAGAATTTATATTTCTTCTAGCTTGTTTTTTAATTATTAGAGTGTTTACATTTAACTCAATTATTTGTTACTTATTTAAGAATGTAACTTGAGCTACATACCCAAACCGTTTTTTTCCAAATATAAAACTATTTTTCTTAACATATATTTGTTTCATACTCATAGATTTGTGGTTTCCACTATAGTGTTTATGTTCTTATATATACTTATCTGACTTGCCCAACAGTTCATTATATCTCTTCTCCCATGCTGTATTGATTATAGTAGCTTTCTAATTCCCTGCATATTTTTATAATGCTTATTTATTCTTCTAGTTTTAAAGATGAATTTTTCAATAGGTGTGTCAAGTTCACCCTCTCCTTCCCAAATCTCATTAGAATCTTGATTAGCATTTGTGGAAAGCATAAGTATTATTCAGTAAATAGTTTCTTTTTCTTCCTTTTTGTGAAGTGGTAAGTGGCTAAAAATCTTACTCTCTATGGTATGTGAGTAGTAGTTGCATGAACCTCACTTCCTTTTCTTACCACTGCTCTAGTGATCACCTAAATTTCTAAGTTTCTTTCTTTTTTTTTTTTTTTTTAAATTTAATTTAATTTTATTGCATTTTAGGTTTTGGGGTACATGTGAAGAACATGCAAGATTGTTGCATAGGTACCCACGTGGCAGTGTGATTTGCTGCCTTCCTCCCCATCACCTATATCTGGTTTTTCTCCCCATGCTATCACCCCCAACTCCCCACCCCCTGCTGTCCCTCCCCTATTTCCCCCCAACAGACCCCAGTGTGTGATGCTCCCCTCCCTGTGTCCATGTGTCCTCATTGTTCAACACCCGCCTGTGAGTGAGAACATGCAGTGTTTGATTTTCTGCTCTTGTGTCAGTTTGCTGAGAATGATCGTTTCCAGGTTCATACGAAATGCTAACATCAAAGTTTCTAAGTGACAACAATGAGCAGAGCCTCCCTGTTGATTAATTTCATTGTTTAATTCCCCAGCATAATGTTGCCTATCCATAAAGACAGATATTTATTAAGCATACAAGCCAGTTTGGGAGTTCTAGGACTATCAGTGACCTAAGTGCTACAGGATTCATTACTATCATGCAAAGAAGGGCAGGAGCTAATTACTGTATTATTAGTAAATGTATTCCAGTTGTCTCTCTGGGCCAGTTCCATGTGAATATCCTTTGTCCACTCTATGCTCTGTCACCAAATTAGGCTTGAAATCCCTCATCCAAACAGAATTCTCAGGAGTGGGGACATGGGAAATGTATTGGTCCCTGTATTTGCATAGATTCCATGAGGAAGGCTTCCATTTCAGGGCTTAGCTCTCCTACCCCTCCTCCTGATCTGCACTTACCAGCCATTTGAGATTTGTGCCTCTAGAAAGAAGTCACTGTAAAGATGTTGCTGAGAAAGACCTTAGGCTTATCCTCTACCTGACATTTTAGTTCCAGGCGTCCCCAGACTTTTTACACAGGGGGCCAGTTCACTGTCCCTCAGACCGTTGGAGGGCCGCCACATATGGTGCTCCTCTCACTGACCACCAATGAAAGAGGTGCCCCTTCCTGAAGTGCGGCGGGGGGCCGGATAAATGGCCTCAGGGGGCCGCTTGTGGCCCGCGGGCCGTAGTTTGGGGATGCCTGTTTTACTTCCCTTTGGTTCTCATACAAATCACAGTCAATCAAGAAAGCATCAGGTTGTACATTCGAGGGCTAATCCTGCATATGCAAGGGTCAAAGCTGTTGCTGTTTCTTTTTCTTTTTCTTTTTTAAACTTTTCCCACCCAGACCCTGGGGGATCCACTGAGGCAGAGATGAGTGTGTTCCTTGCATATAAGAAAAAGCAGAATGGATATTTACCTGTCCTTCTGGTGATCAATGCAATGCTTTATAAAACATCATTTCCTCTTTCTTCTGGGCTGATAGCTAGGCTGTATGTCCCAGCCTTTCCTGCAGCTGAAGTGCCATGGAATGTGGGTGAAAGTGATGTATGTTAGTTTCAGACCTAGCCCTCAAAACCTCTCTCACTCAGTGCTCATTTCTAGTCATGTCCAATAGAGGTTTGCAAGCCACTAGAAAAGGGTGGAGCCACTGGCTAGAAGGAGCCTGAGTGTTTCTTGCTAATTGATTGGACTGTGTCTGTGATTAAAAAAACAAAAAACAAAAAACAAAACAAGGGGCAACAAAAAAATGCTATTACATTAAGGTGCTGTTCTTTACAGTTATATGTTTTAACAACTAATCTATCTTGATGAAATAATTCTAAACAATTAGTATTTTATGTAGTAAATACTTTGGGGATGGGGTGAGAATGGTGGTAGAAGAGAGTATGGTTTGTGCTTATGCAGTATTAATTGCAGTCATGTATCACTCGATGGGATATATTCTGAGAAATGTGTCCTTAGGCGATTTCATCATTGTGTAATTCTCAGAGTGTACTCAAACAAACCTAGATTACATAGCCTACTACACACCTAGGCTATACTTAGGCTATGAACCTGTACAGCATGTGAATACTGAATACTGTAGGCAACTATAACACAATGGTAAGTGTTTTGTGTATCTAAACACAGAAGAGGCATAGTAAAAATAACAATATAAAAGATAAAAAGTGGGACACTTGGCATAGGGGACTTAACATGAATGGAGCTTGCAGGAATGGAAGTTGCTCTGGGTGAGTCAGTGAGTGAGTGGTGAGAGAATATGAAGGCCTAGGACATTACTGTACACTCAGATAGACTTTATAAACAACATACACTTAGGCTATGCTGTATTTATAAAAATGTTTTTTTTTAAGTAATAAATTAGCCTTAGCTTACTGTAACTTTATAAACTCTAGTTTTTTAAAACTTTTTGGCTCTTTTGTAATAACATTTAGTTTAAAATAAAAACACATTGTACAGCTTTCTCTTTTTAGAGACAGGGTCTCACATATTGCTCAGGCTGCACCTGAACTCCTAGAAACACACATGGAGCTGTCATCTCCTAGGACAACAATGCCTTTTTCTGGAATTCCTTTTAACAGACCTACCTGAAGCTGTTTTGCAGTTAACTTTTTTTTTTTTTTAAATAAGTAGAAGTAGTGACTCTAACAATAGAAAAGTATCATATAGTAAATATATAAACAAGTAAGAATGATCACTACTAAGTACTATGTACTATACATAAATTGTATATACTATACTTGATGTAACTGGCAGCACAGTAGGGTTATTTACATCAGTATCACCACAAACATGTGATTGATACATTGTGCTGTGATGTTATGATGGCTATAATGAGAGTAGGTGATGATAATTTTTCAGCTCCATTATAATCTTAGGGAAACATTGTATATGTGATCTGTTGCTGACCAGAATATTGTTATGTGGCACATGACTGTAGTTTATAGTACTTAATTAGGTGAATATGAAAGAGTAATCATCTTTTAGATAATCATCTTTTATCTAAAATAAAAAATTGATGAAGCTATTTTAGTATTATATGGTAGGTAAAAGATGAAAACAATGAGGTAATTTTGTTAATGTCTATAACAGTATATTGGGTATTTCTTTATACTTATAATCTAAGATTTCTACCTCATATATAACTATGTAATCATATTATTGTTTACACCTTTATAATGAATTAAGAAACTAAATATCTTGTATTAAGTTACTTGAACTCACTCACTTGTATTAAGAAGTAACAATACTTTCATACAGAGGAACTCTTCTTGGCTAACTTGAAGCTTGACAAACTCCTGTGGGATCTGCCACATGGTAAGGCATAATGAATAGAATGATGATTCTTTCATCCGCTGTCTTGCACCAGACACAATACACAAAAGAAAAAGCAACAGGAAAAAAAAATAGTGTCTCAGCCAGTTTAGGTAATTTATCAGGGAATATGATTTTGGTAATTAACTTACATATTACTGAGCATGACTATCACTTTTAACAAATCCAATAATTGGAATTTTAAATAACTTTTACAATTTTCACAATACTGAATTTTTGAGGTTATCTTAAAATTAGAAAATTATATGAAATACACACTGACCAAGATTAACATTGTTTCTCATTTTTATTATCACACTTCAAATACCTAAATCAAGAAAACATAGCAAAGGTTACGAGTTAAGAATGCTTAGAAATGTTTTTATTTACTTACAAATTATTTTCTATGAAAACATATAATTATAAAATGTGTGCAATTAAATAGGAGAATTCAGTTCACAGAGCTTACCATATTTTGAACTTTTCTAGAGAAATATACACTGACACAGAAAAGAGTAAAACAGAACATTGGCAAACATTAATTAATTGACAAAGTTAAACACAAGTGCTGAAGGTTGAAAAAATTTAATTAAGGTATTTTCTCAACCTTGTGTCGTTTTATAATGTCCAGATTAGTCAAATGAAGCTAACAAGAATAATCCAATTATATTTTTACTCAAAAGAGATAAGAATCTCACTGTAATTCAAATTATTTGGCAGATTATATAATTCTTCAGAGACCCAATTTTCTAAACTGTAAAATGAAGGATGCTGATTCCTTATTTCAAGGAATTATTGGATAAAATGTAATGACACATGAAAATTATCTAAAAATTATAAAGACTTATATAAGTGTAAGTTACTGTTATATACTTCTAAGTCAGCATTCACCATTAGAACAATATAAATATTATCCTGAAAAGATTCTTATTCAGTTAAAGTTTATATGTAGAAAATTAATTATAGTTATCTAAATATGATGAAGCAAATTGCAATATTTATCTTTCAATTTTAAAAATAACTTACCAGTGTAATTTGTCCAGTAGGAAGAAAGATGTTTTTACTTTTTGAATGTTAAGTCAATAACAAAAAAAGTATTTATTTTATTATTGTCATTAGTACCAAGCTATGAAATTTTAAATTGATAAATGAAACATTTATCTTTAAATATATTTCTTGATACATTCTTGACATGTAAAAAAATTGGATTTGACACAACTATAATATATTTTGAAACAAGAGGAAAAAACCTCCAATTATCAAATTACAGTGAAATGACATAATCTTATTAATATCATCATATCAAGAACACCAAATATGTGATCATCTATTAAAATATAACTTTCAAAATTATCCTATATGTATACTTATAGTAACAAAAACAACAAAAGCTACTACTTACTCATTTAGTATTAGATCAGGTGCAAAATATAGCATCTGCCCACTGACGTGTTTGTAGGATCTCCATCCGAGACTAAACACCATTAAGCTCATCCAGGAATACTGAATGAGAGTTATCTGGTCATCAATATGTAAATTTCGAAAACCTACAAAACAAATGTAAAAATACAGTGACCCATAATAATGACTGAATTATGTCAAAAACACTGAAAATACATATACATTCAAAAATAGGTATAAGTAGGGATACTGTTTTCAATCTCAACCTATTTTACACTGAAAATCAGAAAACATTAATAAATAATACAGCCTAAAATATCAGCAACTTTGAAAGTCACTTAAAAATTAGTCCCAGATTTAGCATTTCTGGGAATTCGCCAAGTGAATCCATATCCATCACTCATTCATGCAACACCCATTTAATGAGAATCATTCATGTGCCAGGGAACTGTATAAAAATGCTGCAGTTACGAAGATGACTACGACTCAATCCTAGCCTCCAAAGAAGGTCACAACTCGAAAGACAAGCACAGGAGTGCTAAAGGGAGTGCATTAGTTAATCGGGAGGCAAGTCAGGAAAAATTTCCTAGGGGGAAAAAAAGATAATGCCTGAATGGAATAATCATTTTTTAAAATCTCAGTTCTTTTTAAACATAAACTGGTCTTACTTTGTAAAACCACTGCTTTCAGTTGTGTAATACCTAGTTTTCTTTTAACAACCCTTAACTTTGTCTTGGGTAGATTCCAAAGTTGTCAGGTCACTTTCAGTCTCTGAAACTTGATCCAGTCTTGTTTTAAACTTCCATGTTGCTTAAGAGATTTAGAAAATCTCTCTCTCTCTCTCTCTCTCTCTCTCTCTCTCTCTCTCTCTCTCAGTGTGTGTGTGTGTATGTGTGTGTGTGTGTGTGTGTGAATGCTTTGGTCTTTCATCATCTTTTAGACTGTTCTCTGGTGTTGGTGGCAGAAGGAAGATGGCAGGAAAAGAGCAAATGAATCTTGATTTAATCATCAGGAGTCTCTCCATGTCTTCCCAATTGTCAAGGGAAGATCACCAGCACGACAATGAATAAAGTAAAGGTGGGAGAAGCAAAGATGTGTTTGGAGATGTAGGATGGGGTCAGATCATGCAAGGTCTTGAACGTCTATTAAGGAGCAATGGGAGTGACAGAGCCTTGCATTGTAGATAGATCTGTTTTAGCTATGTGGTAGGTGGATTCAAGGGAGTAAGTCTGGAGTTAGAACAGTTGAGAGATACTGTCAAAGCCCAGATGAGAGATGATAAAAACTTGAAGTAAGTCAAGTCAACACATTAGAATTAAGAGGAGAGAGTACATCAGAAAAATATTTAAAGGGAAAAATCAAAGACATTTGTCAAGTGATTATAGGTAGATGGGAAGAAGAAGGAATCAAGTATATCTTATAGTACTTTTCTTGAATGGTAGATGATGATAACAGCATTGCTGAGATAAAATAAAGGAGAAGAAACTTGCTAGGGAGAAAATAGTTTTGGATAAGATTGAGGGGTCAACATCCTGATATCAGCTGGACATAGAAATTAGAAGCATGGAGAGATATCTGGGCTAAAAATATTAATGTAAATTTGAAAGTTATCTGTATCTGAGCATAGCTAAAAAGAAAGATCATTTTTAAAATTAAACGTATAGAGAAAAACAGTGTTTTGCTGAGAACATCAATCACTTTCTATAAAGCTATTTTAAAGACATCTGTTTTCTCTAAAAATCCACTGATGTTCACTTACAAATAGTCTGTTTCAAAAGTAAAACCAAAGCAAAATTTAATTCATTACCTATCAATAGCAAAAGAAATTTATTTCCTGACAATGTTAATCATGTCGAGGTAGGTAGCAAAAAAGAAAGCTCTTCTCTTCATACATTTCTGATTGTCCCATCTTCATGTAAATAAGAGAAAAATTGCTTTTCTCTTCTTAGAACTCCTTAACCTCAGTAAGACCAAAAACAACTCAAATGCATATTCATAATTAGAGATGCCATAGTGAGCCTTTACCTTTTATTAAGAAGGTATGCTCTTCAGTGTCTAACTAACCTTTCCTCCCTCTCTCCCTCTATCCCTCCCTCCCTTCCACCTCTCCTCCCTCCCTCCCTCTTTGCTCTCTTCTTATTCCCTGCTCCCTAATACCATCTTACTTTGCTTCCCTCCTTCCTGTCTCTGTATGGACAGAGTTCTCCATTGGTTGTAGTTTTGTGAGAATAAGTGCCCTATTTTCCTGCTTTCCCACTGAGAAAGCTGAGTAAAGCTTCTCCTTCTCTGGGCTTGGGGCATAAGTTTAGGCCATGGAACATATACTAACAGGAATTTGAATCAGAAAATAGTAAAGCAAAGACAAAGATATGATTATTCTTGATGGTGGTGGTGTCCAGATAATGAGATCCAATGGGAAGATTTGTGATGCTCGCTTTTTAACCCTTCAGAGGTGCCTTGGCTTCTGCCCACGTTCTAAGCTGGTCCGTCAGCTTCTATTCATTGATTTCCTGGTGTCCTCTCAGTACATTATTTTTTTTTCTTTTGTTTTTAATAGGATTTTCATTGTTGTTGTTTGTTTTATAATTAACATAGTTGATTTCTATTGTTGGCATGCAAGAATCCTGGTTTACTCAGGTGCAGAAAGACTCTCTAAATAACCAGCCAAAAAAAATCTTGGCATGCAGTTTTTGTAATTCTTTATTTTATTTGCATATGATTTAAATGCCTCTTCCGGTATAGCTCTACATATTAACTTTGGAAAATTATAAAGCTTTGCACAATAAATCTAATACATAAATGCTGCTTGTAAGTCAGATATTTAAGAGACTATAAAAATGGGTAATTTTGTGATAAAATTTAGAATTATCTGACCAGAGACCAATGAAATTATCTTAATTTTTGAGAAAGAAGACTTTCTAAAGGGAGGCACATATAAACCTCCCTATTGCTGATCTGACTCAACAAGTTGGAAGGAATTCAGGACAGAAGACTCAAGTTCCAGTCCTGGCTCTACCACTTACGAACAGCCACTTTGGAAACATCATTTATTATCATTGGATCTAAAGTTCTTCATAAGTAAAATCACAATGATAATGATAACTAACTCAATGAGTTGCTAAGAGACAAATGGGATAATTATTCATATTGTAGAATACGCAGATATTTATTATTAGTCTATCAATGCAACAGAATTGCTCATTGGAGTAATACTAATATGAAATCCACCAGTCAGTCTGATGGGAAGTCTCTAATATTAAAGCACAATGGCATAAAAAAGGAGGGATTTTATATATTATAGAACCTATAACTAAAGTATAAATGTTAATAATGGTGAAGAAATTTTAAAGATAAATTATGTGTTCATTCTGGAATATATATTTTCCAGAATATACACTTTAAGTATGTTGTTATATATAACAAATTATATATTTCCTACAAAGGGGCAGGCTCATACAAAGTTAGTTTTCATTAATCAGGTGTTTTAAAACATTAACCGAGTGTTCACTATAATATCCAGGAATACATTTATTACTCTCTTTCTTTCTTGGTGAATTTTATAACTTTATAAAAAATATTTATAATATTTAAATATTTGACTTAACTATGCTATAATTTTTCACTTCAGGCCTTTGTTTTATGTTAACCTTTGAATAGTTTTTAAAATTTCACAAAATTATATAACAATTAAATTGTTCTATATCCAAAAATAGATCCTGTCTACATCTGGATGTTGACATTAACTTTATCCTCCTCTTAGTTTTTGTTTTCATCTTGTTGCTTTTTTCTTTGTTTTGCATTCTGGGGGTATTAATGTCTAGAAATCCAGGCTTTTATTGTATTACAACATGGGCAAATCTTATTAAAATAACTTAAAATTTATAAAATTACCAATATTTATAACAGAAACTGCATTTCTGTTTGACAAAATGGAATAGAACTCAGAAAATAACCTTTATTTACTCTACTACCTTTTACAGTGCTTATCTGTGATAAATGTACAATGTTAAATTGACTTGAACACACCTAGTATAGAAATGCTAGTTTTTCCTTATTAACTGTAATATCATTCATTACTTTATACTGAAACAAAGATGGGAACACTGAGATCAAATTCCCAACAATGATAATGATCAGTTAAACTTAGTACATTTGAGGTGACCAAAATGAAAAACCTCCACATACAGAAGTGATGAATGATCACTAATTGTGTTTAACAAATGTTTAAAAAACAAAACACTCTTTTCCTTTTAAGTGACTTGACCTGATAATTTCTGACAAAAGCCCTGTGACAGCTGTCCAATTTTAGCTTAAAAAATTAACAGAAAGTCTATAGTAAAGTGATGGCCTGGGGCTGGGGTGTGGTGGCTCAAGCCCGTAGTCCCAATGCTTTGGGAGGCAAGACAGGAGGGTCATTTGAAGCCAGAAGTTTGAGACCAGCCAAGACCCACTCTCTACAAACCAATTTAAAAAAATTATCCAGGTGTGGTGGCACACACCTGTAGTCCCAGTTACTGGGGAGACTGAAGCAGGAGGATGGCTTCTGCCCAGGAGTTCTAAGCTGCAGTGAGCTATAATCATGCCACTGCACTCCAGCCTAGGTGACAGAGTGAGAACCTACCTCAAGAAAAAAAAAAAGATGGCCTGCATGACCTACTAAGTTCTCCATTCATAATTCCAGAGTTTTGACAAAATATGTAAGTTTTGCTTCTGTAAAAAATGTCATGTAATGAAACAGATAATCTACAACAATGGCAGAGCATTAAATATCTTAGCACCTTCTGACACAAAGCATTAACTTTCATAAAATACCAATGTTGAGAAGCACAAAGAAGCTTCCATACAATGAGTATCATCACCAACATGTTTGATGATTTAAGAACTTAATGTCTAACAATCTAAGGTAGTACAGTTCTTTGTATATCGATTCTGTAATTTAAATTCTGTAAATATAAATATTTGGGAGGAAGCATTATGCTTGCAATTAGAATTAAGATTAGAAAAATGCTGTCTTCCCTTTTTTCTTTATTTTTTCCATCCTCCCACCTCTGCTATCTGTCCCCTAGTCTCCCCACCCACCGACAGGCCCCGAGGTGTGATGTTCCCCTCCCTGTGTCCATGTGTTCTAAAAATGCTGTTTCTGCCT